AGACAGCCACTTTACTTTCTTGCCTTTCTTTTTCTTTGGGATGGTGCTGCTTGCTGCCTCTTGTACAATGTCATGAATCTCCATCCATAGTTCTTCAGGCATTTTGTCTATCAAATCTAGTCCCTTAAACCTATTCTGCACCTCTACTGTATATTCATCAGGGATGTGATTTAGGGTTAGGGTCAAACCTGAATGGCCTAGTGGTTTTCCCAACTTTCTTCAGTTTAAGTCTGAATTTTGCAATGCGTAGCTCATGATCTGAACCACAGTCAGCTCCAGGTCTTGTTTTTACTGACTGTATAGAGCTTCTCCATCTTTGACTGCAAATGATATAATCAATCTGATTTTGGTGGTGTCCATCTGGTGATGTCCATGTGTAGAGTCACCTCTTAGGCTGTTGGAAGAGGGTGTTCGGTATGAGCAGTGTGTTCACTTGACAAAACTCTGTTTTGAGGAGTCTAAGATAAATCTGCTGAGAACAGAATCCTCAAATAGGAGAAGGTCTTAACCTGCTCAATATTGGTGCCATTGATTGACCATTGAAGTGGTTTCCATTTCCTGATCTTGGTGAAAACTAAGATCTTAGATTTCAGATAATCACCAAGCTATCTTCAGGAACAGTAACTGGAGAAAGATTGCAAAGTCCTTTGCAGACCAACCCTGGTTCAAGACAACATAACAGCATCATCCTCTTAAAGCAGGATAGGATCACAAGTTTCAACTAGTTTTGGTGGGTGGCAGCAGTTGTCAAAGATTGATGCTAAATTATTTAGATTATTTCGATACAGATTTAATAAAGAAGCAGCCAGCAAACATCCCTGTCGTACCCCCTCTTGCAAGTTAGATAAATCTGTTAAGTGCCATCACAGCGTACTTGAGCAATCGAGCCTTGGATAAGTCCAAGGAACCTATTGTTCATAGTAGTTTGATTAAATTTATTCCACAGTCTAGGGCAATTTATAAAATTAAGGTCAATCAAGCCTGTATATAATCACCCTTTAAAAAGATGAATATATCTCAGCCAAATGGTAGAAAACTAGACAATGGTTATATGTTGAAGAACCTCACCTAAAGCTTGATCATCATGCCCCAATATGGCTTCTGATTCCATCGAATCCAAAAGTTTCTTAAGTACATAAGCAGAATGTAACTTTCATGAAGAAGAAAGAAGGCTAATTGGATGATAGCAGGATGGGTCCAGTTTAGACCCCTTTATGAATATTGGGACAATAATCAAATGTCTCCATTAATCAGGCATTTACTCACTGGAAGTAATTTGATGGAAAATTGGGACCAAGACTGTGGCCCACCATTGTGAATCAGCCTTGAGTAACTCAATGGAAATTATGTCAGAGGCAGGGGCTTTTCCTAATTTTAATAAGGCCTATTCCTGCCTTGATTGATACCTCAGGCCAAGGGGCTGTTAAATCAAGAGAAATAATAGTTGAAGATAAATTAAGCACATTAGCATTGGAAAATAGTCCCTTTTCCCATGTTGAGGGGATAATAAGAACATAAGTACATAAGAGATGCCAATGTTGGATCAGGCCAAAGGCCCATCCAGTCCAACACTCTGTATCACACAGTGGGCAGAAATACCAGTGCCATCAGGAGGTCCACCAGTGGGGCCAGCAAGGGATTTTAAATTCTGGATTGATAGCAGTGTTAATAATGGACCAGAAGGCCTTATTATCATTACTGTTAATAGCTGAAATGAGATATCTCCCATTCATTACTCAAGGCCATCTGTCTCCTGATCTTAATCAGCTCTCTATATGTTTTCTTCAATTCTAACAACTCTTGGAGAACTGATATTGTACAGTTACTTTTGAACTCATGATGCTTCTGTCGGATATGCCCCTTCATTATTCTACAATCACTATTGAACCAGCTATTCTGCTTGGCTTCAAAAGATATCCTATCGAGGTTCTTTTTCACATAGAGAGGTATAACCAGATCTAATATGTCATGCAAGTTATACAGACGGTTGGAAGCAGAAGAACAAATTTAGAGTCCAGTGGCACATTTAAGGCCAACAGAGGTTTATTCAAGGTATGAGCTTTCGTGTGCATGCACACTTTTTCAAATACATTGGAATGGCAGGTAAGGTTCAAATTTATAACCAGAGAATGAACAGCAGATTAACATGTAACATGATGATGTTCAAGGTATGCAAAGTGAAAACTAAATAACAATTTAGTTTCGTTCAACTAAACAACAAGTTAAGATTATAAGGTCAACAGTTGTAAAGTAATAAATATGTCAAAATAGCAGATAAATGTCCAAAGGTGTCTTTTCTATTCATGGGAAGTAACTGAAAATCTAAATTCTCTCCTCTCAGGCGTGGAGGGCACTTAAAAGCAATTAATGAGGGGGATGTAGAGTTATGTCACCAGATATCCCTTGCATTACATTCAGTATTTTAATATACTATTCTGAAGAAGAAATACACTAAAATATAGAGGATTTATTGTAGTCCTTGTTGAAAAATACATATGTGAGGACTGAACGAGTTAGCATATGTAATGAGATAAGAAACCAATGTCCCTGTTGAGTCCTGGGGAGGTTTTTCTTCCAAGTGTTGTAATAACTTGTAATTCAACAATTTCCGTTTCCATTCTATTCCTGAAGCTCCTTTGTAATAAAACAGCTACTTTGAGGTCACCCATTGAATGTCCTGGAAGGTTGAAGTGTTCTACAGGTTTCTCAGTCTTGTGATTCCTAATGTCAGATCTGTGTCCATTTATCCTCTGGTGTAGGGTTTGTCCTGTTTGTCCAATGTAGAGAACTGAAGGGCACTGTTGACATTTAATCGCATATACCATGTTAGAAGATGAGCAAGTGAATGAGCCTCTGATGGTGTAGTTGATGCTGTTCGATCCAGTGATTGTGTTGTCTGGGTGTATGTGGCAGCAAAGTTGGCATCTGGGTTTATTGCAAGCTCTGGTCCCAGTGTCCATGTTCAAATTAGATGTTGCATTATTGTGGGTTAGAAACTGAGTCTGACTGCAGAATAGGGTGTTACAAAGAATGGAACCCATTATAGTTCTGGTCTTATCATTAGAGTTTGAGCGCCAGCATAATCAACAAACATTAGTTTGATTTTGGGAGAGAGAAAAGCTTTGTGATGGAACATAATAGTGCTCGAAAAATAAATCTCTAGAAAAAAAAGACTAGGAGATTATCACTTCCCATAAAACCACCAACTTTTACGTTTTTAAAGTGGAAAGATATCCAATTGGAGCCAGAATATAATCTATTATGCTGGCTCCCCTGGGGCTCACATAAGTAAAATTACCAGCTCCATCAACCTCTAAATAACCATTCAGTGGAATAAAAGTTATCTGGATCAGAAATTTAGCCAATTCTGAACTACCACTGTTTATTACACCATCCTTAAAGTTTCTGTTGTGCCAAGCATGCCTGAGAAATTCATCATTATCAGGACCTAGAAGAGTGTAGTGGTCACCACCCATCCTTGCATTGAAATCACCCGCTAATACTAGAGGGATTCCTGGAAATTGGGTATGCAGGTCACCTACAGTTTTCCCCAGGCGGGCCCATCTTTGAATCGTTACAATAGATGTGGATGGGGGAATATAAACTGAGGAGAACTGTCAAATCATCCAACTTCAATAAGAGAACATAAGAGATGCCAATGATGGATCAGGCCAAAGGCCCATCCAGTCCAACACTCTGTATCACACAGTGGCCAGAAATACCAGTGCCATCAGGAGGTCCACCAGTGGGGCCAGGACATTAGAAGCCCTCCCACTGTTGGCCCCCCCAAGCACCAAGATGACAGAGCATCACTTGCCCCAGAGCCCCTATCTATACCTTGTGGCTAATAGCCACTGATGGACCTCTGCTCCATATGCTTATCTAATTCCCTTTTGAAGCCGTCCATGCAATGATCAGATGCAATGCAATGATCAGATCATCTGCCACGACGAGATCAGAAGATCCAATATTCAAACGATGGAATTATACAAGCCAGACCCTTGGACTGACGGATGCGCTCTGGGAATAAGAGATGTGACCAGGAAAAATAGGTTCATCTATTAACAAAGTCTCCTGAAGAAGTAAAACATCAAAGGAGGCCATAAACAATTCAGTATGCTTGCAACAAACGCTCAAGAACCAGCTGCGTTCCAACTTAAGATATGGAGTCCGTGAGTCCCAGAAAGTCATTTTTTTTGGTACTGAGGAATCTGGTACTGACAACTTGGGGATATTTTCCAGATTGATTATAGTTCTTGGCTCAGGAGGAATAGGAATTTTCTCTCTTGTTGGGCTTGGTTCTTATGGTTTCTCAGGCCAAGGGGAGGGTGATCCCATCTAAAGGACTAGCTAAAGATTTATTTTTATTCTTGTCAGGAGACCTGAACGAACAGCTCATGATAAACTCTTTTGGATTGGTTAGCTGATTTTGATCCAGATTAATTTGTACTGAAAAACCAATTAAAAACCTAGATTTTTTTAAAAAAAATGTGTTTTAGCTTGGTACCTAAAAGAAAGTAAGCCATCACAGAAAAGGCCCTGTCTGTAGTTGCCACAGGTCTGAAGGCAGGGAGTATAGAGAGCTGGGATTGAGAGGCAGATCTGAATTGCCTGCTTGGCTGGTATGGGAGCCAATGATCCTGCAGGTACCCTGTCCCCAAGCTGTTCAGGGCCTTAAAGGTAAGAACCAGTGCCTTGAATTGTGGCTGGAAACAGATGCCTGTCTTTCAGCACAGCACCTGATTGGCTGTCATCCATGTAACCACCCAGACAGTAGGCTGGCTACTGCGTTTTGAACCAGTTGAAGTTTCTGAGCTGTTTTCAAAGGCCGCATTGCAGTTGTCTGCCATCAGATTCATTTCTCCCCAGCCCAGGTCCAGCATACAGTGTGCTTTCTAGAGTGTGTGTGGCCATTTGTTCTTCCTATTTCTGCGGACTGGCGCACAAATGACAGGGGGATTTTATTTGCCCAGCACTTGTGATTGTGCCTTTACCTTTGCAGGAAGAAGAAAAAAGACAAAGATAAAAGCAAAATTGTGGATCAGACTGTGAGCAGCAAAAATCAGGAGGAAGAGAAAAAGCGAACCCTGGACAAGCGGACTCCAGCCCAGCTGGCCTATGAGAAGACGCAGGAGAAGCGGGTAGGTGTGAAGAGGCTTTTGACAGAAGTGGCAGTGGCCGGGTCGGGTGATGGATAGAACAAAACCCTTCCATGCCTCTTTTTGCCTGGAGGCATGGAATGCAAGCCTCAGTCAGTAGAAGTAACTGATAATCTCTTCTGTTTTGTAGAAAATAGAACGGATTCTGAAGAAAGCCTCCAAAACCCACAAGCAGAGAGTCGAGGTGAGATACTGCTTGTAAAGCACGAGGATAGGAACAGCCTGACAGCATCTGGTATGGCAGGGGCACTTCTGCAGCAGGTTTAAGGGGGACTCTAGTGCTGTTTTTGTTTAGGGTGGTGCAAAGCATAGTGGATTATGAAGAAGTCCAAAAAGATCTCTACAAGCTGGGTGAGTGGCCAACACAGCGGCCAGTGAGATTCATTGTAAGTGTAACATGGTGCACATTAGGGCAAATTTTTATAATTTTAAATATATGCCGGTGGGTTCTGAACTGGCCGTGACTGTCCAAGCAAGATCCTGGGGGCCATGGTGAAAATGTCAGTGACTGGCAGCAATGGAACATTTGTTTATTGATTTATTTGTTCAGTTTCTATCCCACCTTCCCAGCTGGAGCAGGCTCAGAGCGGCTTACATAAACACATAAATAACAATGACAAAATCATAAAACCTCCTGAAACCATACAAAATTGTAATATTATAAAGTGCTAGCAAGCTCTGTAGTACTTTTCATCCTTTCCATAATACTAGAACTTGTGGGCTCCCAGTGACGTTGATGGGTAGTAGAAAAGACAATTCAAATACTAGGAATTTTAAAAAGGTGACTGTTGTAATGCCTGCTTATAGCTCTGTGGTGCAGCGGTGTTTGAAATACAAAATTATTCAGCATATCTCAAAAAGGATATTGTAGTGCTAGGTAAATTGGGGGGGGGACACGAATGATCAAAATGATCATGGTGTTGGAGAATATTGTGCATGAGTACTTTTCATCCTTTCCATAATACTAAAATTTGTGGGCTCCCAAAGAAGTTGATGGGCAGTAGATTCAGAACAGACAAATTTCAGTCTTCAGTGGAATTCACTACCACAGGGTCTATTGAGGGCCACTAGTTTTAAGGAGGATTAGACAAATCCTTGAAAGGTATCCATCAATGGCTGTTAGATAATCAATAAATAGAGCTTCCATGATTAAAAGCAGTAACCATCTGAGTGCCAGTGTTCAGGGACCACAACAAAGGCAGGCTTTGGCCCCTTCATATGGCCTTCCGGGGGCACTTGATTGGCTGCCTTGTGAAGCAAGATGCTGGACTAGATGGGCCACTGGTCTGAAATAGGAAGGTGTGAGTTGGAACATACTCTGCAGATCACCAGGATGTTAGGGATGCTGCAGAATGAGTTCCTTTTCTTACCAAAATGACGCTTTGAAGTGATTTGTTCATTTCTGAAGTGTAGTACTTGGAAACAAACAGGACAGTGGGGTAAAGATGGTCAGGAATCAGCAGAAGCCAAACCTCAGTGAGTGCAGAGTCTGCTTTAAATATTCTGGTATGAGGCAGTGTTAAAGTAGCCCTTGAAAAAGTAATGTATTCGTCTCTTAGAAAAGTAGGTCCTTGCCCTCAGTTGCTCTTCTTACTCGTCTCCCCCGCCCTCTTTTCACCCCCAATATAGGACTTTAACAGGCATCTGGACACTCTGACAGAGCATTATGACATCCCCAAAGTCAGCTGGACTAAATGAAGACCTTTCTTCTGGTTTCTGAAGGTTGTAAAAGGATGCAGAAAAGCCAACTAATATGTTTGTGGCTGGACATTCTCTTTACCTGCACATGCTCTGGTTTATTTGACATGATCTCACTGGATTTTTAAAAGAGATGTAATGTCTGTGATGTACATAAAGTCTATGTTGTAACTTGTACAGCTGAAACAGTACTTTTTCTTTGTAGCTATGTTCTTCATGTATCCAAGTGGAACTGTCTTCAAATATACAATGCTTGGCTTTTGCTGAATGACTACTTTTGGGAGCAGTGCAAGAAGATTAAATAAATGTTCGTTCTTAGTCTCAGTTTCAGCTTATTTGCTGCATTGTGATTTTGTTGCTTTCTCTTTTAGTAGTCATGGGATAAGAGGACAACGTCTCTTATGGATTAACCAGTCAGTTAGTTAACCAGGATTAACCAGTTGGTTAATTAACAGGAAACAGAGTGAGCATAAATGAGCAGTTTTCACAATGGAGAGTGGTAAGCAGTGCGGTACTGCAGGGCTCAGTACTAGTTCTGGTGCTTTTTAACTTGTTCATGAATGATTTGGAGTTGGGAGTTAGCAGTGAAGTGGCAAAGTTTGCAGATGACACTTAAGTTGTTCAGGGTTGTGAGAATCAGGGAGGATTGTGAGGCACTCCAGAGGGATCTGTCGAGGCTGGGCAAATGTGGGTGTCAACATGGCAAATGAGGTTCAACGTGGGCAAATGCAAAGTAATGCACATTGGAGCAAAAAATCCTAACTATAAGTACACATTGATGGAGTCCAAACTGGCAGAGACTGACCAAGAGAGAGATCTTGGAGTCATGGTAGATGACTCACTGAAAATGTCAACTCAGTGCACGATGGCAGTGAAATAGGCAAATGCTATGCTGGGGACTATTAGGAAGGGAATTGAAAACAAATCAGCCAGTATCATAATCAATGTTCCCTCTAAGCTATGGAGTCTTGTGAGCAAAAATCCTACTTTGTGAGCTACTGGCATTAAAGTTGTGAGCAAGCGATTTGGCTACTGCATAAATTAGTTTGCTCTGGAGCCATCCTTCCTGAGCTAAGACAAAAATGTGTGAGCCGGAAGCTAAAAAACACTGAGCTAGCTCACACTAACTCAGCTTAGAGGGAACACTGATTATAATGCCCCTGTATAAATTGATGGTGCAGGCTAATTTGGAATACTGTGTACAGTTCTAATCACTGCACCTCAAAAAAGACATTATAGTATTGGAAAAAGTGCAGAAAAGGGCAACTAAAATGATTAAGGGGAAGGGACACTTTCCCAATGAAGAAAGGTTAACAAGGTTAGGGCTCTTTATCTTGGAGAAATTACAACTGAGGGGTGATATGACTGAGGTTCACAAAATTATGCATGAGATAGAGAAGGTAGAGTACTTCGCCCTTTCTCACAATACCTCGTGGGCACTCAATGAAATTAATGAATAGTAAGTTTAGAACAGATTTATTTATTTATATATTCGATTTCTTATACCGCCCTAACCCCCTCGGGGGTCTCTGGGCGGTTTACATAGGCAGTTCTAAGAACGTTTCTCCCTAACTAGGGCCACATTGTGCAGGGACGGGGCTGCCTAAAAGTAAAAATAAAAGCAAGTACTTCTTCCCCCAGAGTAATTAACACATGGAATTCACTGCAACAAGAGGTGATGGTGGCTACAAGCATAGACAGCTTCAAGAGAAGCTTAGATAAGCGTATGGAGCAGAGGTCCATCAGTGGCTATTAGCCACAAGGTATAGATAGAACACTCTGTCTGGGGCAGTGATGCTCTGTATTCTTGGGCTTGGGGGGCAACAGTGGGAGGGCTTCTGGAGTTCTTGCCCTGCTGGTGGACCTCCTGATGGCACCTGAGGGTTTTTTTTGGGGGGGGGAGCACTGTGACACAGAGTGGACTGGATGGGCCATTGGCCTGATCCAACATGGCTTCTCTTACATAATGTAACTGTTTCAGCATAATTCATGCTGTTTGCACAGACTTTCTTGGCTGACATAGAAAGTCACTCTGGGTTGTTTCTTATTGCCATGTATGTACATTTTCCCTCTGGTCGCAGGACATTGCTCCAAACCAGCGACTTGGACAAGGCCTGTTTCTTGTATGGCTGGGTTGTTTCCCTCAAGGTTTTCCTTCTCTTGGGAAGTTTTACAGCAAGTGTCTGTTGCAGGGGGAATCTTGAGCCTCCAGAGAGCACTTGTGTGGAATGTGTCTTCAAGTAGTGTGAATCCCAATGGTTTGAGTATCATTTTGTTCTGCAAGGTAAGACATGACATGACTGTTCCCATGTACCATTTCCTGAGGTTTTTTTTTAAAAAAAGTATTCCAGGCAGTGGCTTCCACAACACAGTTCCAGTACATGGAAGCTAACACAATACTTTCGTTAGAAATAAATTCTAACTGTTCCAGGGATCGGGAAGGAAATATAACACAGTGTTGTTTGTATTGAGCTTCATGTTTACTGGGAAAGAAAGAGCCCAGAGATTCAACATCAAAGAGGACAAAGCGGCAGCTTTTATCGAATACAATGTATTGTGAATTGATCCTCCTGATGTACTCACACACACTCACCTGCCAAGGGGTGGCCAAGCTTGGGAATGGGACACTGAATGGGCAAGAGAGATCTAGCAAGATATTTCTGCTCCTCATTTGGAGGGTTCTGATCTTTATGGCATGAATCTTAGGTCTCTTGGTTAGCTTTTTCCTGGGTGATGTGTCTGCTGCTTCTGCTTTTTAGGTGGCAGAGCTTCTAGTGCTCATCTGCTTCCTTTAATACTTTTTAATGTGCAAGAACAAGCTTTTGCAATTCATTCATGAAAGGAATAAAGTGTCTCCTGCCCATTCAGTGTTAATCTATCAATTCTCTTAATCAAAATCTTAGAACAAAAGGGGACCCCATGGATGCTTTTCTTACCTTTTCACTTTTTGACAGTTATGGACAAGTCCAGCGCTTTCCCAGTACTTCCCTGAGCGACGTGGAAGGCTACTGCAGCACTATTAAAATAGTTTATGCTTATTTTGAGCAATAAGATCCCTTGCCACACAAGGCACAAATATCCTTGCACAGCAGTGCCTCTAGATATGGCGGCATCTGTTTAGGCACTGCCGTTAGCAGCAACGTTTTAGAAAGCAAGCCCTTGGAAGTTGAATGACTTGCTAGCAGGCATATGCCAGGTAGGCCTCTACAAAAAACAAGACTGCCATTTTCTATTTCTGTGACATTTGCTACCATTCTGGAACTGTGTGAGGCAGGATGCTTGGCTAGATGGACTGTTGGTCTGATCCTGCAGAGCTCCTATGAACAGGTGCCAGTGCTTCACTTTTGTCATGCCTGGGGTCGTCCCGTCCTTGGAGGAGCGTCGGCCGTGACTGCGGAAGGTCCCCGGGAGAAGCCAGAGCCTCAGACATGGATTGAGGAGGGAGTTGCCTCACTCCTTTTTCCTACACTCCTCGGGGTCGACAGCGTTAAAGGAGGATTTCTCTCTGGTTGAGCCCGTCGCCTCCGACATCCTCCTCGGCTCTATCGGCGTCTCCCTTTTTATATCCCTCCTCCCGTGAGGCAAACTATCGTACACTTGCTCCTATATTTTGAGCTATGTAGGTCCTCTAACTCAGGACCGCAGTGTATGCCAGGGACTCAAGGTTAATTAGGTAGCGTGCTCAGATATTCTGAGTCCCCTCTGCTTCCCAAGGCTATCAGGCTTAGCTTAGGAGAGACGAGGAGGGCACATAAACAGTCTCTACTGCCCAGAGATTCTTTCAGACTCCCAGCTTATAAAACATAAAGGTTTATTTATAGGGATAGAAACAAACAGGGGGAGTTTGCACATAAAATAGACAAATCCTAAACCCTAACTGGAGCTGCGGTGGCTCAAGTGGTTAAGACGCTGAACTGCAGGCTGTGGAAGGTCAGTAGTTCAGCGGTTCAAGACCCGGGTGCCGCAAGACAGGGTGAGCTCCTGTCTCTAGTTCCAGCTCCTGCCAACCTAGCAGTTCGAAAGCAAGAAATTGCAAGTAGATAAATAGGGACCACTTCGGTGGGAAGGTAACAGCGTTCCGTGCACCTTGGTGTTTAGTCATGCCGGCCACATGACCACGGAAACGTCTTCGGACAGCGCTGGCTCTTCGGCTTGGAAACGGAGATGAGCACCGCAACCCTAGAGTCGGATTCGACTGGCTTTCGAGCAAGGGAGCCTTTACCTTTACTTTAAACCCTAACTATGCTAGCTTATCCTAAACAAATGGTTTGCTGTTCCTTTCTCCCTGGAACTCCACCTCCGTTTTGGCTCGGCTACTTGCTTCAGAGTTCACTCTGCCAAAGCTTGCTTGCTTGCAGACACTTTCGGTCTTCTAAGCAGCCTGCCCCCCGGACTATACCTCCCGGTGAACAGTTCAAGAAGATCCTTGCTGCGGCTCTTAGCTTCTTCAAGGCCACGTGCAGCACTCCTGGCATTCGTCAAGCTGTCGCCTTCAGTCTCCTGGCTTGCTTGGAACGCACAGATGTGTGTATTCGGCAAGTTCATGAGTCTTCCTTCATTCTTCCATCATGAATCTTGATGAATGAACTATTCTGCCTCTAGGACTGAATCTTATTCCTTGATTCCCCAATCCCCATCCTAGACTAATTAGGGATTGCGGCCTTAACCAGCTGTTTCCCATTTACTTAGGTCTTAGATGTACTGATACTGACTAAACTTACAGACACTTATCTGAGATGATCCTGCAAGTTAGTATCTCTGGCATGACGCAAACCCTCCCCTTTCGTCCCCTGGCTCCTGAGAGGGTGTTTTCCCCGTCTCTCTCGCCCTATTGGGTGGAGGTCTCCCTGTCCCGCCCTCCTGGCTGGTCTGTTGGGGCATCCTCAAGGGAGTGGCTACTTCTGGGAAACTCCGGGGCTCCGTCGACGTCATGGCCAGTGCATCTGTCCCTGCCTTCTCGGGTAAGCCCCATCTCCCCCAGTCTCCCCTCACTCGTGCCCGCCCTTCTCCCCCTGATCCCCGTTTCTGAGCATGAAGGCGTGGTTGCCCGCCTTTTTGCAAGCCGTGCTCCTGCTGGCCGTCCTCTTCTGTACCCTCGGAACTTCTCTCCGAGAGGTCTTCGCCCTCCGGGGCTTGCTGAGGCTTCGGCACAGGTCGCGCCAGTCCTGTCGCATCGGCCAAAGGGGCCACAGCAGAGCCCGCAGCGGGACAACTTTCCTTTCTATAATTGCTCTTTTGTAAGGTCAAAGATGGTAGAGAGGGGTTGTGAGGCGGTTGAGTGGGGACCGGCTGTGGCTTCTGCCTCCCTTTCCCGATGTTGCCGCCGGTTGAAGCCTTCGGATGCCCCCCGTAGCTGCCCGTCGCCCGCCATGGCTGACCAGCTTACTGAAGAGCAAATCACAGAATTCAAGGAGGCCTTCTCCCTCTTCGACAAGGACGGGATCAATGAGGTGGATGCCGATGGGAACGGCACCATCGACTTCCCTGAGTTCCTGACCATGATGGTGTGAAAGATGAAGGACACAGACAGCGAGGAGGAAATCCGGGAGGCCTTCAGAGTGTTTGATAAGGACGGAAACGGCTACATCAGCACAGCTGAGTTGCGCCACGTGATGACAAACCTCGGGGAGAAGCTGACGGACGAGGAGGTGGACGAGATGATACGGGAGGCGGATATTGACGGGACGGGCAAGTCAACTATGAAGAGTTTGTGCAGATGACCGCAGTGAGGCCTGCAGAGCGGGCACCTGGCGATGCCCAATTCTCCTTCAATACTTTTTTCTCCGACACACTCTTAAGTAACCTGAAAGGGGGGGGGTGTCCTTGAAAGCAGGTGGTGTTGTGTTCAGTTCAAGCTGTGAAAATAAAAATTATATCAATGTTTTCCAATAAAATGCAGTGACTACCTGAAAAAAAAAAGATGGTAGAGAGAAGGGTAGCACGGAACTTGATTCTATACAGGTAGAGGGCATAGTATACCTGTGAGGGAACACACAGCATCAGCACCCACTTTGCATGGGAAGAACATGAGACAGCCTTTGCTGCAACCTAGTGGTCGTTTTAGTTGGGGTACCACTAACCACAAAAAGTTTGGGCTGGAAATTCAAAATGGCCACTGTCACGAAAGCGGACAGGTACCGAGGGGAAGCTATTACAGCCTTTTAAATCCTTACTTAACATCCAGGAGTCATACAAAAAGGCGGCTACAGTGGATTAGACTTGTTACTAAGAACAGAATAAACTGCCCTACGCTGTAGGGTCGCTGTGAACTACTTTTAGATACAGCCCCTCTAGTTGCTACGGAATTTCCAAATGTCTGAAAACTTTAAGAAGCTTCTTTATATACTTAACATGAAACAGCATAAATGGTTCTGAGAGTTATTTTTAAGGAAGAGAAAGGACGAGACACGCCCACCTTCAGTTTCCTCACTTGCCCATTTTCTAGCGACACTGAAGCGTCGAGAGCTCTCCGCTGCAGAGGTGAGAGGTGGGCTTGTGGCAAGCCTGCGGAGAACCCCAAGGAAACGCGGCTCCTTGTCCCGTCCGGAGGAGCCCGCCACCCACGTCCCTCCGGAGCCCCACCTGGTCGGGCCGCTCTAGCACTGTCTTGCCTCTATGGCCACGCTGAACGGGGATGTCACCGGAAGTGTCAGCTGGGAGGAAACGGAAGCGAGTGGGAGAGCCCCCGACGGACGAAGCTGGGCGGGGTCGGGGTCTTGG